GCAAAGCGTTACCATAGAAGTGAATTAGACTGCACCACAATTGCCTGGTAAACACTTAGCACGCAGTTGCTCACACGGTAGTCCGATGACAAATCCCCTTTGGAATAACAAAAAATGGCATTCAGGAGGCGGCAGTATCACACCGGGCAACCGCTGCTGTACTACCTTATGAACAGCGATCCACTTTTCCCAGAGCGGTGGAGTCTGCCACCCAACTAAACAAGGCTATAGAGCAGGGTTCGGCAACTCCGGCCCTCTAGCTGTTGTTGAACTACAAGTCCCATGAGGCATTACAAGACTGACTGTTACAGGCATGACTCCCAGAGACACATCGGGATTTGTAGTTAAAGCAGACCTGGAGGGCCGGAGATACCCCCTCTTATAGAGTTTGGCTCTTTATAATGGATCTATAGTGTAAAGCCACAAATTTCAATTCTCGCAATCACAATTGACCTTTTAATTTGTCTTGGTGTCCATTGTTACTGAGATATAAGGTGATGGGAAGTCAAAAATTTTGAATTGTAACCAAAAAAATAATTAAAGGGTTGAGTGGAAAACTTCTGAAGGGGAGACCTGCGCAACTGACAATGTCTAGACAGGAACTTCCCCTCATTTTGTAGGTATTTTCTCTCACTTTCTCTTGCATCTCTGAGACAGGAAGTGAGGCTCAATGGACACAGAGAGCAAAAAAAAATAACTTAGAGGTGTTTTTACTTTTACCTTCTTTATCCAAAACGTTTTACCTTTATATTCCTATTCCAGTCTCCCAATACACGTTAAAAATAACTGACAAAACCACCACTTTAGTGGAGAAATTGCAACCAAACAAGTAGGCGTTGGTCACAGCAGAAAGGGCATGAGGAGCTGTCGTTAGCCATAGCCCACCAGTTGCCACCTCTGATTGATGACCACCATCTTCTTCAGCTAAGATCATTGACTAGGCAGTGGCTCCTATGGCCAGCAAAAGAGGAATCCCTAAACGGTGATTTGTTGACAAAAGGCAAATATAAAGCTTTACTTTGATCATGTGTAAATATACTGATATGGGAGGCTCAGTATAGGGGTATAGTTTCAATACTAGAGCAATGTGTAAGGAATACATTCACCAAGTTCCGGATATATCTTTATGCATGCTGCATCTGCTTCCTTTGCTATTCTAAGTATAGGTCTCACACATTTCCAGTGAACGGTCCTGACAACATTGCCTGAAGGCATTCTCCTTAGACCGCATCACCTGATAGCTCCAGAACATCCCTAATGGCCTATCTTTGGCACCTCTCAGATCGAGTGAAGCTCATAGTCAAACATTTCAATTGGACAGAGGGATACAGTTTTTACTAGAATAATTTTCAGTTTTCAGCTGAGTTTGCTTGGGTCAATGGATGTTTTGTGATGTTCAGTGGAGGTAGCTGCATAACTAACATCAAAGCGGGCCACAAAGTCGCCTTGGCACCTAGCTGGTAAGCTAGGGATTATCAGCGTAGGATTCTCTTCTGTGAACCTTCTTTATGGCTCTTGTAAGCCATCTGCAAGAGTGAACTTATGGCTTCCTGTTTCCTGCCACTGATATATGGAAATACAGCTATTTGGCATTTGTTCCTATAGGCAGCAGAGGCAATGAGGCACTTTTCCCATTTATAGCTATAACCTGCACATGTTTCTGATCATCTGTAGAAATAATGTAATCTGTAAGCTTTATTTACACATTGTTAAACAAGATAATCTCCTAATATGATTGTGGGATGTTGTGAGCAGCAAAGCTTGTGTGGCTAAAGGATACAGTGATTGAACTGCCAACATTTGCATATAGCCTACCCTAGGTAATACCCACATGTGATGCTGAGCCTCTTTGAAAAATATCTGAAATCCAATGAATGAACAGTCAGGCTGTGGAGGAAAGCACTAGATAACACTGGATGTCATCCAGCCAAGGAATGAGGTGGGCTCTATCTAACTTGATGTAACTTCTAATGAACATTGCGAGAAGTTCACAGTGTGCAGTGAGTCAGAGTAAGAAATATCAGTGCAGGAGAGGATCCAGTACAACTGTATGAGACATAATAAGGCTGGAGTTCAGCTTTAATGATAATACTGACATGTTGATGGCACTGCTGTCTTTTTAGAGTGGGGCTTGTTGAAAAGTATGCATTGCTAGTCTTCATGTAGGCAGATCAGTTAGTGTTGTATTTTGGTTTGCAATGCACCAAAATGCACAGTAGTGCACTACCGTGTGTTGTGGTGCACTGCAATGGAGGTGCATTGAAGAGGGTTTAGTGCATTTTGTTGCTGATAAAATGCACATGTTTCAGCAGCGGGTATATCCATGTGGCTTAAATGAATTTTGTGACTGCTACCTGTGGTTTTTATAAATCTTGGTACGTTGCTTTTAAACCAAGGGTGGTCAGAATGCCCTGCTAAAAGCCGGCCGTGCCTATTCATTCAGACGGCCGCCTTATTTTCTGTGAAATGTGAAAATTGGCATTGAGTGATGTTCACTACTTTGTGTCATTAATAAAGTCAGGCCAGGATGAAATAGCGCCGGTCTTACTTGACATCACACCTCTGATTAGTCAGCTGCTTCATGGCTGGGAAGCGGCAGCCATTTTGGGCTTGTTCTTTTGTTAAGTCCGATGTGCTAAAGCTGTAGCTTTCTGAAGTACTAATCTCCCATGACACCTAGAGACATAATACATAGGTGAACCTCTTCACTGTCCGAATAGTAAAATGTTGAGGCGTAATCCTCTTCTCCTGACAGAACAAGAACGTTCACAAATCTGACATATAATTGTGCCCTTTCTGAGGAAAAAATTATTTTGTTTAAAGGAAAAATTATATAAATCCTCCTAAAATTGGTGGTAAAAAAATTCCAGCACAAGGGGCGAAGGGGGTTCTACACAGTTAGAGCGGTTAGGATCTGGAACTCACTCCCACAGGCAGTGATTTCAGCTAAGAATGTGGAATTGTTCAAGAAACTGTGGGACGATTTCCTAAGGGACCGTAATATACAGGGGTACAAGTACTCCTAAGAATGAGATCCTATAGGTTAGACTTGATGGACTAATGTCTTTATTCAACCTCAAATACTATGTAACTATGTATATCATTCTCATGTCACCTTCTATTTGCTGGCTGTTTAATAAATATGCTAGTTGCCTGGCTTTCAGGCCGATCCCTTGGCTTCAATACTTTCTAATTCACTGATTTGTGAATTCAGAGCAGATAGAGATCTACTGATCATCCTGAGCTAATCACAGTATGCATTAGAAGCATCAGCAAGTGAGCTAGAACCTGCCTCATTTCCTGGCTTGGTTAATAGCCAGCATCATCGTGTAACTTTCCTCCTCAGCCTGACTGTTCCTGACCCACCCCTTTCATTTTTTGGCTTTCGTTTCTTCCAGTCATGGTGGCTCAGCATCACATTACCACAGCTTCCTTTTTTCAGGCAGCTATGTAATGAAAACAGAAACATTTTAATTAGCAACAACATTAGCATGTTGATGAAGGGATGGGGGGAATGAACCAGGGAAGGCAAAATACAATCAGATTAAACTTCAGCTTTAAAAAAAAATAATAATATATATATATATATATATATATATATATATTTTGCTAGCACATGATTGGTTGATAGAAGTAAATGCAGGTTCAACTGATTTACTAAGCTCGATGAACATATAGTTTGCAAAGCAAATATTTGCATTGCTTAGTAAACAACCCTTTGTAAATCAACTGCAGACATTAGAACATGTGTTATTTCCGGCTGTGTATTGGTTTGGCATGTTCCCCGTTATTTCCTGTGTGCTGACAACAGTAAGCAAAGGGACTTTGCCCAAAAGATAGCATTTGGCTGTATACGTAAAACCTGTGGGTTTTTTTCCCACCCGGGAAAAAGCAGCAGCTGCATACATGCGCCCATAGACATTAATGGCTGTAAGCAGGTATGCAAGGTTATACGCCGATAGGTGAGTAAAACCTGTGCGTTCTCCAAACACAGACTGCAAGTCCCTGTGAATGGCTGTACGCAACTGCGGCTGTCTCCTGGGTGGGGAAATATGCCGTGTGCTTGAGGCCAAATATGTTCTATCCATTCCCCAGTCTATGGAAAGTTGAAAAGAATAGTAATTGGTTGGAGTTCTACTTTTTTTTTGAAAGAAAGGCAGCACTGTGTGGTTACAGACCAAAGGGACAAAATTAGATGGCCTTGGTCTTTCTATTAAAGGAAACCTATAGTAAGCCTTTGCTGACCTCCTACTGAAAGTGCTATCCGGTCTTAGTACATGGAGTAACTGTCTTGGATTTGCATGACAGCCAAGGAACTAGCATTTTTAGAAGGATACGTTAGCAATAGTATTCTCTGTGCTTCCTTAGTACAGGTTGTGATTCTGGACCTCCCAGCCCAGTTGAAGTCAGACACATAAATAAGCAGTTAGAAAGAGATTGTGTTCGCAGCCTCCATTTCCACAGGCTCACCTCCACTTTCCGGTTATAGCAGTTGTGCAGTGTGTCCTTATATGATTGCACAGCCCAATAGGCACCGGACTTTGACCACACTGCCCTGTGCACTTAGCAATCACACACACACCTGGTCAGACACACTGGCAAAGAGACTTGGCCCTTTATATCTCTGCCAACATAGAGATCTGAAGTGGGAGGTCAGAAAAAAGCATTTTCACTGAAAGAAAAAGGTATAGTAAGGCATTTCCAAGCAGAAATCACTTGAAAGTGAAAACATACTGCTGTACAAGTATATAAAAAGAGACAAATGTGAGAATTCAATTTGGGCTTTAAAGAAGAGGGCTTATAGAGTGTTCCTTTAAGATAATAGCGCCTTAGACAGGATTCTCGGCTCAGCTCATTAAAGGAACGACAGTGGTTGCAGATTGAATTTGCTGTTACTGTAACATGGGGATTTATTATAGGATTAAAATATTTCTCCTTCGATTTCTTGTAGGTTCTGCTGTGACTGTAATCTCTGAGATATTCTTTTGTTTGTATTGCAGATAATTTGGAAATGCCAATACATAAAACGATAACTATAGATATTACTCCAGAAGGTATATGTCTCATATTTTCTGATTGCTGTTTGCTAGCGCCGGCCAAAACACAGCCAGTTTTATCTTGCGCTAATACACAAATGTTCATTTGGGCAGCCTTGCTTTAGCAGAAGATTATAACCAGATATTTTTGAAGCCTGTTGTGTGCCTTTTGTTTATTTTGTTTCACTGTGGCCGCCGTAGCTTTGGCTTTTATTTTGGTTTTTTTTTGCCTGTTTATTGCTTGGTCTTGTTTACTTATAACTGGTTGCTTAAGTGGGATGTGGAGCCATAGTGCGGACACTAATAGTTGAAAATATGAAAGCAAGCTCCACATTTCATCTACCCTGTACTCCACCCATGACAGTGCCTATCTGCCCATTATTTTCTAACCCCTTTCTGTTTGCTGATATATATTGCAAAGCCATTATTGATACATTGTATGGCCAAACGTTTGTAAACACCTGACTTTCACAATTATATAAAGCATAGGCACCACCACCACCATTGCAGCTTTAACAGCCTCTACTGTTCTGGGAAGGATTTCTACAAGATTTTGGAGTGTGCCCATGTGGTGCATTTTTAGCCAAAAGAGCATTTGTGAAGTCAGGTACTTATGATGATGACATGGCTTGTAAATGGCATTCCAGCTCATCCTAAAGGTGTTAAGTAGGGTTTTGGTCAGGGCTTTGTGCAGGCCACTCAAGTTTCCCTACACCAAATTCATCAAACCATGTCTTCATGGAGCTGGCTTTGTGCACAGGGGCACAGTCATGCTGGAACAAAAAATGGCCTTCACCAAACTTTTGCACAAGGTTAGAAGCTGTAGTATTAGCAGTAACCTTCATGAAAAAAAACATGAATGTAATCATTGAAAGTACTATCACATACCACTGAACACCTCTGTTGAAACTGTTGACAATGCACGTTGCATGTCCAAATATTGTCAATTGGGGGTGGAGTTTGGACAAATCTGGGTGGAGCCTTATGTTCTGTCATTTTATTTGGGAAGGCTGGGAGCATTGCTATCAAACCAAGGCATGCTGGTATTGTTTGATTGCCTAGACGCTTGTAACCTCACAGACATGGCATGCTTCTTTCCATGGTGATGCTTCTATTTCTTGCTTAGGTCACTTTTTTTTTTTTTACTGAGCTTTATTGACAAATATCCCAAATGGCTACATGCTTCGAAAAGGAAAAATGAGAATAATCTCACTTCTTCAATAATTAGGGTGAAAAAGTTCACAGAAGAGTTCCATGTGATCCTTGTGCCTCTGTAGAGAATATGGAGCCCTGATATGACCTTCCATGTAATAATTTTCCATTTGGAAAAAGAAAGAAAAATATCCATGTAGCTAACAGTCATATGCTCATGTCAGCTGACATATAATATGCTTGATCTCCACTGATATTTTTGAATGTCACAAGACTATTTTTGGTCACTGCTCATTAATGTGGAAGTTCTCCCTAGAATAACCCTAGGAACATTAAAAAAGCCAATATAACATACAGTATATATAACACAAAAAAGCACCATGTTTGACTGCTATCTGCTCTCCAGGTCAAATAACCACACAAAACACTGCGCTATCCCCACCCTCAAAATATCACCTCTAAGGCCTCATTCACACAGCTAAGTGTCGTCCCGTACAGATCTGTGCGGCGTGCACAGCCGTATCGGGCCATTCCCAGGAAGGACAGGTGCGTGTGATTGTACGCAGCAGCCTGTTCTTCTCTATGGGGGTACGCAGCCGAATGCTCACCCAAGCTGCACATCCGTGCAGGTGCGGTTGTCCGAGCATGGACACCCGCATTCATGTGCAGTTCGGGTGAGCGTACTTCCATAGAGAAGAACAGGCTGCTGCATACAATCACATGCAGCACCTGTCCTTCCCTGGAACAGCCTGATACAGCCATGCACGCCCTACGGATCTGTACGGGTCGACACTTAGCTGTGTGAATGAGGACTTAGACTCTAATAACAAATGTGAATCTCAATAGTAGATCAGTAAATCTGATAATATTATTAATATATCAAAAACATTCAATTTCATTAATCAATAACAAAAACAAATATAGTCCAAATTCAACTGTGACTTCCTGTGATGTCTTCCAATATGTAGTGTATTCCCCTCAGTGTGTGCACTTACCAGATTCTTTAGACCAGATAATGGTTATCACTCGTTAATGCTCCTTTTAGATTCCCGGATCTCTTTCTCTCCCCGGATTCCTAATGGATTGCTTGACATAGATCCCCCTCAGCTTTCAGATGGTTTGCTTGCAATGGATCCCCCTCTGGTCATTTTCATTTTCCCAAATATAAGAAATCAGAATCGTATATAGTATAACATCTTTTAATGATAATTTATTAAGCAACGTAATACAAATTCACATTTAAAATTGCACTGTACAGCTTGCAAGTTAAAGTTCAGCCGGCTCAAACATCCCTCCGATAAAATTGCGTGTACCGCCCACCACGAACAGACTTTCACCCATTCAATCCTGTGATAAGCGTCAGTGTGTAGGCTCCTCCCCAATGCGTTTCTTCCGTAGGACTTTTTCAAAGGGTAGCTTACACGCTGACTCTATCTCCTAACACTATACCAAAATAAAAACAGTAGATGTCACTCTCAGCACCAGAATTATATCAATTGATATGCAGACTGCTGATATGCCCTCCAGTTGTCCAGTAATCAGCATTGGAAACTGGGGGAATATTACCAATGACACTATGCAACTCATGGTGTCACTTAGCTCCCCCCCCCATGCTGTCTATGTCTGGTGATGGCAAAGCCTGGCATTTCCTCTGTACCCTGTTGCTGTCAAAAACATAGCACGGGGGGCTGAACAACACCATAAGTTGCATATTGTTGCTGGTAAACGGCCATAAAAAAGTATGACATGAGTTCTCTTTATATTTAAAAGAGAACTAAAGTCAAACTTTTTCTTTGGCTTTAGTCCTCTTTTGGGTCAAAGGAGTACATTTGCTAATGTACTTCTGTGACCCAAAGTCAGCATCTAGCAGGCTACTGCCCCGCTATTTGGGGAAAGTGCAAAGCTAAACTGCAGCCAGCAAAGATCTCAACAACATTGTTGGGAATCATCCTGCTGCTTGATTGACAGCTGACTCTGCTTCTCTAGAGCCTGGGTCAGCTGTGTCCGCCCTGTCTGTCCCTCCAATGAGCGCTGGAGAAACAGAGTGGGGGGTATCCCTGCGGAGAGTGGTGACTGACAGTGATTGCTCTCTGCAGGTAGAAAGACTGTGAGCTGATTGATCAGTGGTTTGTGATCACTCTCGATCTATAGAGCTGTGACACCTGCCGTGTCAGACGCTGGCTGTAGGTTATGGAAAGATCACATTTTCTTCTCCCAATACTGCTCCTTTAAGCTAGTTCACCAAGCATGAAATCACTTTTCTGTAAATTTAAAGCTGAACTCCAGGTAGAAATAAATGCACAAATTATTGCAACATTATATTCCTTAATACATTATTAAATGTGTTTTGGTAAATGCAAGTAGAGTAAGTACCCTAAGTTGACTTGGTATCAACTTTTGCAGTCCCTGTACATCAGAGGTCATACTGAGGGAAGCAGCAAAGAGAGTCAGTCAGTTGCACTGTGGTACTGTCAGGGGATCCCAGTGCAGGTGACCCCACACCTGCACAGGTACCCTTACAGGCAGACCAAACACGTGACCACACGGACCAGGTAAGTATGGTATATATAAAATATTTTAATAAACCTAGCAAGCTAACTAAAACAATCCACAACAGACATAAACCAAAAATGTAACAACACAGGAAACCGGGTAACACAGGAAACAGGGTACTAACATAGCATGCAAATATCAGGGTTCAGGCCAGAGGACTCAGACAACAGGGGAAAGCAACACAATCCTGAGCCAAGGTCCAGACTGCAGGGAGGGTTTAAATACTCTCCCAGGAGTATTACCTAATGGGCTGATTCCTGACAGCTGGGAGACACCCACAGGCGAGCACTGGAGCTGCAGGTACCAGCACCACCCAGTGGTGGTCTGGCACCTAGCAGCCCCTGGCTGCCTGGAGAATCCTGCAGGTGAGCCCAGGAACTGCAGGGCTCAGCTCCAGCGCCACCTGGAGGCGCTCTGGATCCTAACAGGTACAAGGAACATGCTGACAGGAAAAAGCAGAGTGAAAGAGAGATGATCATCAGTGTTATGCTTCTTCATTTATTCTCCTGACACAGGGGAGGGTGAGAGTTGTTAGGCTGGATTCACACTGTTCCATGTGCATTGCAGTAGATGTGGTAACACACATGTAGGTGTAAATGGGCCCATATAGTCTCCCTTTCCTGAACACTCAAAGTTGCAGGGTGTAGACATGAACCAGCCACATATTAAAACATAGGGTTTTTGCTTGAATGCATTTTCATGCAGTAAAATGCCAGATTGTTGATGCATGAAAACAAACATGCTTGAATAGACCCTGTTACTGAATCACAGCAGAGGAAAATCAGGTCTCTTGCCCCGGCAGACATGGCTTTGCTGTATGGCAGAGTTGTATAAATCTCAGAGCTGAATCGATATACAAAATTATTCGCTCGTATATTTATTTCATCTGTGTATCTAGCTGTGTGCCTGGTGTTCAGCTTTAAGGAGACCCAGCTCTTCTTTGATAGATGTGGAGAAATGTGACTATTTGATCGCCTATGTGCCTGTTCCTCAGAATCCCTAATCTAAGCATGTCTGACAAGTACAAAATGATACAAGTATAACTCTATAAAAAATAGGTTGTACAAGTATGAAATCACAACTCTTTAAATATAAGTTAGATCCCGTAAGTACAGCATCACTACTCCTAAAATATATTAGATCAGCTGAAGTTTTACTTTAAAGTGACACTAAACTCAGGAGTAAAATCTTAAAAATGCATTCAAGTACCCTAACTATGAACAAAAACGTATGTTATTTGTGTATCACTCAGCTGTATTTATTGAAATTATAGTCCATCACAGGAGTGAGCTTGGAGCGGTGAGAAAAAAAAT